TGCCCCTTGCGAATTGCTCATAGTTGGGGAACTTACAAAGGCTACCGACAAGCTTGTACAACATCTTTCGGGTAGCAGTACCAATGTCTTTGGTGATAGAATAAGAGTTGAGCGCGTTGCAAAGTCAAAGACTATGGCTGCCGAATCCTATTCTCACGTTGCACAGTTTTATGCGGATAAATTGAAGGCCCATCAGAGCAGCAACAATGCTCGAGAGCAGGAGCTGTTAGAGAAGGTTTTGAAACTTACTGAGCCGGTCACAATTTGTCTATCTGCTATGATTACTCATATGACCGAATACGGATTGGAACATGTGTTTGATCTCACCAAGTACTTTCAATCATTCAGTGCTCGATCTCATATGTTATTAAATGGAAACACCCTCACAAGTCTCGAGATTTATACCAATCAAACAGACTATACTGAGAAAGGAAGTCTTTTTTGGACTCTGGATAAAACACAAACAAAATTTGGCCAAAGGCTACTTCGAAAATGGGTTGGTCGACCTCTTCTTGATAAGCAGCGCTTGGAAGAGAGAGTCGCTGCAGTGGAAGAACTGAAAGATAACGCAAATACCCCAAAAGTAGACAAACTAAATGCCACCCTTCGGGAAGTTAGATCAGATTTAGAGCGGAGTTTACTTCGCATATATTATGGCAAATGTACACGACCGGAGCTCCTCACAGTTCTCCAGACAATGCAGAGAATTGCTAACGAATTTGCTCATGTCAAAACACCCTCGGATGCAGGCTTCGACTCGAGCATCCTCAATGAAGCGGTTGCATCTCTTCCCGCAATCGGCGAAATAGTAATATCCTTCCTCGACAGGATCAACGCCCAAGCCGCCCGCAGTGATGACAAATATGCATTCTTTTTAGAACACTATGAAACCGAAGCAATTGGTGACCATAAATGCGGCATCGGAGCCGTTGAACAAGATCTCGAGGCGCACCGTATGGTTGCTGCTACCAAGCTATCCAAGAAGACACCTGTCACATATGTCACCATCGCTGGTATTGAATACCTTATCGAAGTCCCCAACACTGATCTCAAAAACGTACCCGCTTCCTGGGCCAAGATCTCAGGCACAAAAAAGATGTCTCGTTTTCACACCCCCGAGGTCATCAAATTCCTTCGTGAACGTGACCAACACAAAGAATCTCTTTCTTCCGCCTGTGACGCCGCATTTTCCACTTTCCTCACCGAAATATCCACCCACTACGCCCTAATCCGCGATACCATCTCTCACCTCGCAACCCTCGACTGTCTTCTCTCCCTCGCAAGCGTGGCTTCCCTCCCAGGATACTGCAAACCTACCTTTACATCCTCAACCGAAATCTCCGTCATCGGCGGCCGCCACCCCATGGTCGAACAACTCCTCCCCTCAACCTACATCCCCAACGACACATCTCTCTCCACCTCTCCCGATCATACACGCGCCCTTTTAATAACCGGCGCAAACATGGGTGGTAAGTCTTCTTACGTGCGTCAGGTAGCACTAATATCTATCCTCGCGCAAATCGGCTCTTACGTACCTGCTGAATCCGCCAGACTGGGTCTTCTAGATGGCGTCTACACACGAATGGGAGCTTATGACTCATTATTTACTGCACAATCTACATTTATGGTTGAGCTTTCTGAAACAGCATCGATATTGAAATCAGCAGGTCCTAAATCTCTCGTTATCTTAGATGAATTGGGACGAGGAACTAGTACGCATGATGGAGTCGCAATCGCAGAAGCGGTTTTAGATTGGGTTGTTAGGGAGACTAAGTGTTTGTGCTTATTTATTACGCATTATCAAACTTTGGCAAGTGTTGCAAGAGGATTTGAAAAGGGAAAAGAGCTGAGGAATGTGCATATGAAATTCACCGCTGAGAGAAATGGAAGGCGAGTTTCTAATGCTGATGCTGATGCGGCTAAGGATAACGATGATGTTGAAGAGGAGATTACGTTTCTATACGAAGTCGGTGAAGGGGTTGCACATAGATCTTATGGTTTGAATGTGGCTCGGTTAGCGCGTGTCCCGAAATCTGTACTTGACACTGCCGCGTCTAAATCACGAGAGCTGGAGACACAAGTGAAACAGAAGAAGTTATTGGGACTGTCTAATATGATTTCGGAAGTACTAAAGAATGGTACCGATCAGCTAGACCAGCTTATCATCGGTATGGAGCAGTTGTAAAATAGATATATGATACCAAGTCAAAAAATTAGATAGCAATGCAGAACCAGCATACCCGCGCACCATTACCAGCTCTTTAACGCCTCATTTCCACTTAAAATAATTGTAGAATGTTAAGAAAAAGAACAGAAAGAACGACTTCCGTATATAATATGCCTCCTTTGATAAAAATTCGACCACAACAATGGCCTGCTATAACAAATCTTATTCGAAAGTCAAAACGCCTTCATGCGGTAATATATAAGATTATGGCGTTTGAAACGTCGTAAAAAGTAGCAGACCCCGAGATCACATGCCAAAATGTGGCATGTTGACATTTGCACCATTGGTGAGTGGGTCTGAAAGTTGTAAATGGTTGCTAGGTAAATGTGAACCATGGTTGACCGAGCTCAAGTTGCCATGAAAACCTTGACCGTAAGCATTCATTGGCTTGTTTTCCTGGCTCATTTGGGAAAAATCCGAGTGATCACCTCCGTATGAGAAAGATCGAGGGTGGTGGTTGTAGAGTGGGTTGTAAATTGATGAATTATCAAAGAACATTTGAGCTGGGAAGCCATGGTGGGGAGTCGAAACAGTTCGTCGGACATGAATATCAGATTGACCGTTGTCTTTGGAGAACATACGCATTGCAGTTGGTTTAACCACTGGTGTGGGAGAAATCTGGTTACCGATATCTACGTTCGTGAAGCTCGTTGAGGCACCATCCGAAAAGTCGAATCTATGATCTTCTAATGGGCTTTCTGTACGACCTGGGCTAATTTCAGGGGCATCCTGAAAAACATTAAAAGAACGCTTCTTGGCCCCCATCTCTTCCATTGTTATTCTAAACTCTTCATCTTCCTCATTGCTTGGAGTGAATCGAGCGCCGAATGCCAATGGATTGAGTGTGGGTGTCGATTGCAAGGCAAGTTGACCAACAGGCTGACGTGTTCTAGCGGGTATTTGTCGCTTCTCAGGACTTCTGGCCGAGTTTCTTGGTGGTCGACCGGCTCTGAGACGGGGTACATTGACGCTGACATCTGCCAAGGCCGCTTTGCGAGTTCTTCGTTTTTTTGGAGTGGGGTCGCGAATCTAAGCGATTTGATGTCAGTATGTGATATTGCAACACAATCAAATTAGCCATGATTATAAACAACGTACAGGACTAGTCTCAGTCGAAAGAGGACCGAAAATGTGTCTGGAGGTTCTGAATGCTCCATCTGGGTGGTAGGAAACTTCAGTGGGTTGAACCTCCGCAGAAGCAGCCATCATCAATTCAAGAATTGAGCCATCTTTTCTCTGATTCCGCATTCGCTTCATTTCGGCAGTGGCAGAATCGAAGAGATCCATGCCAGGCCAGAACACACCCTTCAATTTTGCACTGTCGGAAAGCTTCTCGGTAATTTCAGCATCTGCCTCCTCCTTTAATGGCGTAGTGAGACTGGACGAACCTGAATTAGCAAGACGACTTTATAAGATGAGACAGAGATTTGACTTACTTGGTGGTATCCGATACAGTTCCTACTGCCGAGGGTGTCTTTTGAAGTGTATAGCCTGGAATCTGACGTCGAGAGGTTGGTGTTGCATACACAGCACTATGATCCCACTCACTTCCCATATCAGAGTTAGAATTGGATGTAGATGTATTATTATTGATACTGGTGTTTGTTGCAGTTGGCCAAAGATGCATTCTTGGAACAGGAGCTCGAAACATGGGTGCTAGATTGGCTTCATTATCAAGGAGATTGTCTTTTTCTTTCTTGATCCTCGTTTGCCCGGGCTGTTTTGTTTCCTGTTAGTACAATTGAGCAGCTTCGATTCGCAGAAATAGAACTACCAATGCTTTGCTGTTCCTGGTCTTCTTATCCTTGGCAGCTTTCTTCTGATCCTTTGAAGCAAGTCTCTCGGATAGTAATCGTTCGAGATCATAGTTGTCATACCAATCTTCGAAGTTGTCCAGTTGAATTTTTGCTGTCAATTCCGACGCAGCTCTAATTTTAAGCTTAAAATAATTGGATAAATGGGCTTTGGAAGATGTATGGGTGAGAAGATGAGATACATCGGAGAATTGAGGATTCTTTGGGCAAATGCTGCAGTGCAGTGGTATATTGGTGTGGTTTTTCGACATTTTGGTTGCAGCTATTCATCCAAATTTGTTAGTAATTGTGTGATTGCACAGAAGTTGAAGGTAAACGGATAATGTCAGGTTTCCAAAAAAAAACAGAATTTCTGCAGATGCCTTCCTCTGCGGTTTCAATTGAGGAACCCGCAGAAGTCAGCCCAACTTTGTACAAGAGGAGCGACAATCCTTTCATTCTATGCCATTAATAGTATATTTGGACCTGAAGAAGCAATTGACATAGCTCCAGGTATTGCGTTGTGTAAAAAGGTTGAGCGGGATCCAAACTTACAGATTGTTCTTAATAAATGCTCCAGCTCCTAATTGTCGATGGGAATGAGCAAAGGTAGCAAGTCGTCGATTACTTCTCCAAATTTGTGTGAAGAAGATGGTTTCCTCAAAATATGACAATTGAGAAAGAAAGGACTTGCATACGATGAAGAGTGAGGAATGACGGAAGGAAGAAGAGGTGACAACGATCGAGAATTATAAATTTATGGTAAAGAGAAAATGCAGAAGGTGCGTTGGTGGTTTAGTGGAGTATTGAGAGTTCCGGAAGAGATAATCACGTTCAAAAGATTCTTGCCATATCGGATCAATGTGAGTTTCGCAATGGAGATGGGAGTGAGCGGGAGAAAAGACTATCAAGGTATATTTATGAGTATTGGCCTTTGGTAATTTATATGATTGATTATAAAGGGAATAAAGAGAAGGAGAGAATGATGGTAATGCTAAAAGAAAGGTCAAGGCCGAAAATACGATTGTTTTTAGATGGTGAAAGCTCTCGAGTTCTACTATGGAAGGATTGTATACCACTGTCCCTGTTGCTTCGAAGATGTGAACTAGAATCAAGGATATAATAAATGAGGAAGCAATAAGAAATATAGGACAATATATTGGGATTTATGCTTATGTCATTGTTGTGGAATGGATAGAGTCGTTCTGGTTGAGATTCATGATTCGAGTTGAGATGCTGAACAACTTCAGGTTGAGGACAACGACATGTCTCTTTATCATGTCTTCCCCAGTCAAAATACCTCGAAACACCCACAACACTCACAACAATGAGGACGAGAGGGATGATAGCAGACAGGAACCATATTTCAAGTATTGATTGTTGAGTAGCTGACATTTAGAGACAGAAATCAGAAGTGAACTGACTACTCGAGAAAGTTCTCGTGATAATGCTCATTTTTGGCCAACTGGCTGGAAATATACATAATAGGGGAGCCCTTCACCACTTTTTATCTGTTGGTGAGAATAACCATACATGAGAGCGCACCTTGCTTGAATTACAGTGGCACTTTCATGAATTCTCATGTCATCGGCCAATTCTATTCTCTCATTCTTTCTCATCACCTCATTTTTACCTTTGATTCTAGCTGAACCACAACTCTACAGACAATCAATCAATGATGAAAATTATGAACAGTATGAACAGTATGAGATTTTCATCGAGGCTCACATCATATTTCTTCAACATAATGTACCATTGGCATTTGAGTGTTTGTGATACGGTCAAGCCATAAACACCTCATAGTCAATGAATTGCTGTTCTCCTGCCTTGTAACCTGGTACCACTTTTTACTCGATATAAGGTTATTAGATGGCAGGAGTTGAATGAAGTAGACACTTCGCTACAATAAGGAATCACTAATGAAAATTATGCTGCTTGACTTACTTCTGTGGTCAGATCGGACGTTGAGTATCGATAGATTTATGTGAAAAGTCGAACCTACGAGAAGCTGTTCTCCACTTACCGAAAACACCCAAATGTACAAAGGTCCGATGGACAGATCAATGGGAATACTCTCACCCAATTCATAATTCATAATGTCATTAATGCAGAGATATCTTAGGGCTGCCCTAGCACTCGCTCAGTTATTCTCTTCGGCATACAGCTAAGAGAGGTTAGCCGGTGAAGGTAAAAATGCCAAAGATCTGGAAACTCACTACATGGGATCGACCTCTTCGACACCAGGGAATCCTAGAAGAGATAAGCCGGCAACGCCGAAGCAGGTGTGGAAGACATCGACCATATCACCTGGTCTATCGGCAAAGCCACCTTCCTCCGTGTCCTGACACTTCAGGATGAAGTTGGTAAGTTTCTCTCCATCAATCCAGTGTAGCCTCCCAATCATAGCTAGACTCGTTGCAACCCACCAGCTGTAACAAACATCTTCTTTTTTCTCGGGTCTGCCATTCAGTCCGCCGCATTCGAGTTGCCTCTCGCTCAGCCATCTACCCAGCTTATCAATGTTAACCACGTCAAGGCGCTTCGCAATTGATAATGCACCCAAACATGCAAATATTTGTCCCGAATGAGATTCAGCTCCGGGGCTAACCCCATAACCTCCATCAAAGTTCGCACACGAAATAATGTAGTCCACTGCCTTGTTAACATCCACCAAATGTAGGGAATTTAGTAGTGAAAGTGCATTGAACGCTGCATAGAGGAATCTAGTGTCTTCCTCGCCCCACTCATCCCCCGCGAAGGTTCCTGTATCCTTATTTTGCAGGTCCGCAAGATCTGCACATCGGAAGCATTAATGGTAGCCCCTCGAATCGCATACATGGAGACACTCACATTTGCCAACTGAATCTTTTCCCTTCCCATCTAAGTTCCGCTCGAGATCTTCTACCGCATCCACCATCACTAATGACTGCACGGCACTAACTGTATATAGTAAATGTGCATCATGGCCTGGGGCAGCTCCAAAACCACCATTTTTGTGCTGGCAGCTTAAAATGAAATCAATTGTTTCCCGCCTCGGCAACGCATCAGGTCGACCAAGTAAATGAAGTGCAGTGAGCCCCCAGTAGAGTCCGTTTATTCGCAAATGTTCGGTGTGCCAATATTCGAGCTCATCCTTGCGCTACAGGCAGGAGATGTCAACAAGTGCGGGTGGAGATACGGGGAGGGTGAGTACCTACGGAGTCGAGACTCTGTATATATTTTACATGGGACTCGATAGCGAGCTGAAGCTCCTCTGGCAGAGTGGCAGAGCCTGCTCGACCCGGCCCAGATACGAGAGCCATGAAAACAAAGGTGTATTAATATTGCTGATAGTATAGATTATTGTGGCCTCGAGGAACAAGTCTACAAAGCTTAAGGTATGACCCCACCTCGGGAAAGATGCTGACAAATCACCATCGGACTTGGTCTTGATATATTTCGGAATTTTTGCAATCAATCGAGGCTCACATTCAATACCTAGGTAGGTACTAGGTATACAATGTTGATAATTCATTCATTTAATGTCTCCAGTGTACAGCAACTCTTTTTTCTAGCTCTTTGGCTCCACCACTCCTGCTCAATCTGCTTACATAAAATTCTCCCAACTGATATATAAATGTACCACAACTTCAAAGCCAAGCAGGGACATTCGAACTACCTTCATTAAATGCGGTTTTCATTTCCTTTGGAAACTATTCCAAGCCTTGGAAATGCCCTTGATCGATTTCCAATGAATCTAAAATCTATTTTACCATCTGGTCTGTCAGGTTGTCTTTTGAACCAGATTGTGTATAAAATGCTGTTATTACCAGACAAACGATTGCTCTGGCCCTGGACAAATCTTATTCATTGAGTGAATTTAACTCAAGGAAGACTCTCATGACGAGGTTCTTTCTAAGTTGTTCTTTTAGCGTCACCACACTGCTCTGGAAATGAGGGCATCACCATATCCTGCGTTAATGGCCGCATGTGTCTTCATACTACATGGCAAAATGATCATGCCACCGGCGTGTAAAGCCACTCGATATCGGGGCAGCTCGGTCGTGAATCGAGTGAACGTGGACGGCAAGTGCTCGAACAATTGCGGGCGTACAATTAGCTTTGCACTCGATAGTGGCTTCAATGTATGAAGAAATGAGAGAATATGTCTTGAAGTTCAGCCGTCATCCTCGTGAGGGGTATTCCCTGAAATTTTACCTGTTCCTTCCTTCATTTCGATAACTACCGCTTTTATAGTTGTTCGAGGCTATTCAAAGTCCCACCCGCATGCATTATCAGATTTGGAAAGGCTGGTTTTGTGTGGACGATTTTGCAAAATAGTCGCGGAGTGTTTGTAGTAGACTCGATATGTGATATGTGACAGCTCAGATAAGTTATATCCAAATATATACTGAGATCAAAAGATGGTAATTGTATGAGCGGATAGGTGTAGCCTGAACGAGACTGCGTTCGAATATGTGTCATCTTCACGATCCAATGCAGTGGTCAAGTTCGAAGCCAACACAGCCCGAAGACACTATCTCATTGATGCGTGGAATGTTCCTCCGAATCGATCCGATACATTCACGCATTTTTGTCAACCGCAAGTCAAATATGGGAAATGGGCTCTCATGGTTTTCCTTAGCGCATTCAAGTGAATGTATTAGATGACGATTAGGGACTAGGAACCAACATTCCATTTCTTAATCGGGAAAGGGTTAAGCTGAATATCATTCTTGTAAAGCTTGCAGGATCCTAACCATCAAGCACCACGCCATAACCGTTCCGGATAGCATTATCAACAGTCATCGAGTAAATCATCTTTGTTTGTTGATAGACAATCATCCGAGTTTTGCCGGCGCATGCTTCTTTACAGTTGATGAAGTACTTTTTGACTTGCACTCTCTGGAAATAAACTAGTGGTAGGACTTATATTATGAACGATGGCGATATACGTTCTTGAAAATCCCACTACATTCTATTTCCTTCATCACTACATATCAATTCTATTGAAACGTTGTAATGCGCGTTTGACGGGAGTACAGAACCCAGTCAAATCTTTAGGACTCGTAACTCAACCAATCCCATTGGGGTGTTGTTGACAACCGCCCTTTTAGGTATATAGCCAACGACCAAGATGAGGCCGCTGACAGTAGGTCTGATGTACGTAAAATTTGCTGCATGCTATCAAGTCTAAGCGGAGACGGAAGTCTCATATCTTACTTTTTCATGGAGTAGTAAAACGTACCGCATTGCTGAGATTTCATCGAACCTCACCTCAATTTTTACAGACTTGAAATAATGTCAGAGTGATTAACTTTTACATCATCTATGCCATATCTTGACCTATCTCAACTCCCCCTGAAAGATGCTTTGTGTAAGCTGACTGCAGGGTTCTGTTGGCTTTCACACTCATCTACTAATTAGCCCGGAATATAGAATTCACAATGTATCCTACTATGTTGGATTAACTAAAGAGGATTCGTAATCCAAACAGTTGGTCTTTTGAGCTCTTGCATAAGTAGAGAGCCTCTCGTTATATCAGATTTGCAGTCAAATTGAGGTTTTCAATCATTCTATTCCAAATATTTGCAATCATGATCAATTCTAAACCTACAGTAGTTTTCATCCCAGGCTTCTGGCATACCCCAGAAGGATTTACACCTCTCGCCAAAGTTCTGGAAAAGGAAGGCTATCCCTCTGTCCTGGTCAACCTACCCAGTGCAGGCGCTCACCCCGGGCACCCTGACTTCTCACAAGATGTGGCTGCAATTCGCAAGATCATTACCGAATTAGCCGATGAGGGCAAGGAAGTCATGGTGGTGATGCACTCTGGTGGAAGTGTTAGCGGCAGCGAAGCTTCTCGTGACTTGGGTAAGAAGGAACGCCAAGCTGAGGGAAAGAATGGCGGGATAGTGAGAGTCATCTATATTGGCATTCTATTACCCAGTGCAGGGAAGACTATGTTCGAGACATTTCAAGGCGTGGTTTCGCGTCCCGATTTGGATCCGGATTTTGTGATTGATCCAGATCAGAGCTTTCATGTCTTTGCTGAGGTATGTTTTGATATGTTGTCAAAATATCGCTAACGTCCCGGCTAGGATGGTACTTCAACTATCACTGACGGCGATACGAGATTTTATAGTGATCTCTCTGCAGAAGATGCAAAATATTGGAGCAGCAAGTTGACTTCGCTTTCGCTAGGGTGAGTGAAATGGCTAGAGGTGAGAGGTACCCTCACTGACGTACTATTTAGAGTTGGGATGTCTCCATTGACTTATGAGGCTTGGAAATACATACCTTCGGCGTATATCATGCCACTGCAAGACAAAAGCATTCCGTTGAAGCAAGTTCGGCAGATTGTAAAGGAAGCGAATATTGAGATGGTGTTTGAAATAGAGACAGGTCATTGTCCATATCTTGTACAGCCAGAGACAGTAGCTGGTTTCATTCGAAAGGCAGGAGGAGAGATTATTTGATTACCATTAGAAGACCTGGAACAATCGCCTCTATCGGCCAAATACAATTCGCCCTTCTTTCATGATATAAATTTCATAATCTTCAGAGCTAGCCCGCGCTCCTTTTCCTGTTCCTGTTACCAAATCACTTCCTGAGACAATTCCCACAGAGTGGATTCTGCCTTTTTCCATAAACCCCAAAAAAGCCTATCCAACAAACTATGCGTCATTCAAAGAGCCATCATCTCCAATGCTTAGACTAATACGGTGCACATATCCCAGACTGCTAAGCATTGCGTCGCTGGCTATAGACGGTGAATAGCAAGAATTGTTTCGATTGCACAATCTCTGTGCAGACCAGTACAGGGTACCAGAGCATCATTGGGTGCGAAACGCTTTTCAGGCTCAATTCTCAGGGACATCTATCTTGCAAGGAATCGTGGGTCTAGATTCGAGAGGTTGGTTGGAGCCGCTTTTAAGATCTCTGGACACGCTTAAAGCGGCTCTATAAAACGGGAATCGGGCAATTTCGAAGTCCGAGCAGGTCAATCAACGGTGGAAGAGCGGTCGTGGAAACTTCAACAATTTAATATACTGGAGAAGCTTGATAAGCATAGAGGTAGGATTCAGTAGGTACTATTTCTTCAAGTCTATAAATTCGTCATTTCATGCTTCAATTGCGTTCATTACTAGCGGACCAATCTCTTACCTTGAACTTGATACATCTTTGCTCATCATGCAGCCCGACGAGAAACCATGTGCGGCACCGCAAAGATTCTGGGACCTATACACTCCCAAACCACCAGTAATCGTTTCCGAACCAGTTAAAGTGCCCCAAACTTCGACTTCGCGATTGGAATCGAGTGCTCTGCCGCTGCTTTCACCAGTATTAGACGACCGAGAAGAAGCAAAGACCGTCCTCTATCTAGCCTATGGCTCCAATCTCTCTGCCGAGACCTTCAAGGGGAAACGCGGCATTAAACCCTTGAGCGCGGTCAATGTTCATGTTCCTGCAATCGATCTCACATTTGATTTATGCGGGATACCTTACACGGAACCTTGTTTCGCAAATTGTCAATACAAGAAAGACCAATCAAATTCTCCTCGGACAAAAGATTACCACAAGACAAGATGGCATAAGGGATTGGTTGGTGTAGTCTACGAAGTGACTCGTGAGGACTATAGGACTATAATAGCTACCGAAGGAGGTGGCTCATCATATAAAGAAGAAATCGTGGAATGTTTTGTTCTTCCGAAAGGTAGCAAGACTGTGGACCCAAATCCCAGTAGCATACCATTTCAGGCGTACACTTTACTCTGTCCGTTCAACAGCAAAGATGCGAACCGCATTGTTCGCCCAGACCCAAACTATGCGCAACCATCTGCACGATACCTGAAGTTGATAACAGATGGAGCTGAGGAGCATAATTTACCGGAGGAATATGTCGATTACTTGCATGGCATTAGATCATATACAGTCACGACAATTAGACAGAAAACAGCGCAGATCATTATCATGACCTTTATAGTGCCCATTATTATGGCGCTGTTTGGACTGGGGAAGATCTTTGCAGACAAGAATGGCAAGCTCCCGGATTGGCTAGCCAACGCAATGCGCACCTTATTTAGATTCGTTTGGGTGGCTTATGATAGAATTCTGAAGGCCAAATTTGGCGATGGAGAGAGGACAATAGAGAGGAATGGGAATGATATTGAAGAGATGGATTTAGATAAGAGGTGGGACGAGAAAAAGGTGTCCCTTCTGTGAGTTCAACAGTGGGTGGCATTGGGTGTCAATTTGGAGCAGTGCACATTTGTCAGGTGTTTGTATATATCGGGTGCAGCATATAAATCGTATTATAGAGGGAAAAGCTAATGTATTTTTGGTATATTTGACCGCTCAAAATTCCGCATCAGCTGCTTTCGTTTAAGTATGATAGCATCATCCGAGCATCCAAGCAGTTTCCAATCGTTATAGTGTACTATTCGTCCGCCGTTGCGTAATGATATGCTGTTTATATCTCGGCACAGAGTGGGTTAGGAGCCAAGTAGTTGAATGCCACCAAATTGAATTGTCAAGTGTCTGTCCCCTCGAAACATTTGGAGATTTTTGGCAAAAATGAACAGAAAGGCAAAGGCAATCGGCAAGCTATATTTCTAACTCAGTATCAGAAACCCCTAGACCTCTGTGCTATTATCATCGGACGAGACAGATGCTTCTTCTCCAAATGAAACATCTCAATCGCCCCCAGCCTTTCTGCCAACAACATTGACCAACATCATACTTATGTAAGCACCCTTCTGTACCTCCTGAGCCGCCTGTCCATACTTTTCCAATACGTCTCTCGACCCTTCTCCTGCAATATTTACCAATTCTTTTATGCCATTCATATGCATTGAAGTCCATGCGCAGGCAATATCGGCCTCGGGTTCGAGAAGTCGATCATCCAGAACTGTTACTCCTCGTTCTTGGAAGATGGAGCTAAGTTGGCGTATCCACCTATCAAACTTTAGGATACAGTTCCGTAGAATACTGCTTAAAAGGGAGAAAGAAGATGGAAATAGTACTCAAAACTGGTGAATTTCTTCAAAGGAACTTCATACATCCATCTCGTCAACTCTTCAAGGTTGCTGGTTGATGAGTCCGGGGTAGCAGCTTTGCATGCCATCATGCTGAAATCCACTTCTTTCCACTGGATGTATCCACCTGGTCCTAAATGCGACAATGTCAGTTTACTTTTCACAGTATATCGCTCTTCAGGAAAGTAACGAACTTAGCAATGTCAACACATTGTCTAGAACGTATCTTGGATCTCCTCCAGGGATCACAACACAAAGAAGACTTATGTGGACCACATCATATTGGCCCCTCAATCTCTCCGGCACAAGTTTGAAGATATCCATAATATCCAGTTTGACATTTGGAGGGAGTAGTGCCGAATGAGGATATTGATTAGTTGAGATATCGAAACCGTCTAGTTGTGCGTTCGTCTTTGATCTTGCAAGCTCTTTTGCTAAGTCTATGAGCCAGATTCTCCAGCAACATTAACTTCGTACATATAGAATCTTCGACACACAAGAGCGCTTACCCTGTTCCACATGCTATGTCAGCAATCTTGATGTCTTGCTTGATTGGGATGCTGGGATGTAGAAGATGCCCGATTAGTCTTTGCCAGAGCCAATGCTGGAGATAGAGACTTCATCAGTCAGCGTGTGAGAGCAAAGTTGGAGTTTCAAGATTCAGACTAACCGGGAAGAACCCAGCGGACTTCGTTCAAGGACATGCTCTTCTTCAGCGGCTGAAGTCATCCTATCGTTCGTTGTTTTGGTAAAAGAAGATTTTGAGCAAGTGATAATCAACAAGCGAAGAAATGTGAGCAATCCTCTACCAGATTGAGCTGTCGATAAATGAATATTGATTTTGATGACTGGTCGTACACATGTGACACCCGAGATAGGCAAGTGCGTGTCCTTGCTTCCACAACGTAAGTCTCGAGCACAATACTACTTACTAATTGTGTTACACACTTCGATGTGTAGCAAGTAGTGCAATACCCACTATCAAAGTTGGGCCTTTTTTCTTTCATATTTAGCAGTCCAATTTTCAAATCTCTGTTCATGAGCTTCGTTCTGGGAGCTTTGGACAGGTATTGCAAAAGGAAAAGACCTAGGGCATGGAAATGCGTCGCCAAGCTTTCCTACGCCGCCACCAGCCACAGGTCAAAAGCATTTTATCCCAAGCGCAACTCGTAGACAATTGAATTCAGTTCTTATCGTTTCACTTCCGAATTCTATATCTTCCCTCTCTAGATGGCATAGCTAGGGTGTCACGAATCAGTGACGGTTCTGGCGCATCCGGAATGTATCCTTCTTCTTACCAAATACCGAGCTAAAATATCAATCGATTTCTCACACTGCACGTCGTTCTACTCAAAGAACTGACCATACTTCGGATTCAAAGTTGCACTTGAAACAATGTCATCATTTGCATTGTTCCATTGGGATGGCACTTGCTGCCCCCAGCTACACACTGTAAAAGCCAGATTCGCAAAAATCGTCAAATAAAAGGTTTTGAAAGGAATTTTTGCAATCTTGTACCAGTTGTCGTAGCTACCAACAACAGAAATGTCTTCTTGAGAGCAGATGAAACTGATAGCATTTTATCGAGATGAAAGCTCGACCTTGGAGGCATCTGAAAAGTCAAGAGATTGTGGTGCCTTTTGTGAGTGCAGTAAGCCCCTTGTTTCGTTAGGTAGACATCAGCGCTAGATGGAGAGTTGAAGGGTAGTTTGATCGGTTCTGGCTGTGACTTTGGTCACATGTTTCTTTTCAAACATGAATTTCTTACTCATCTCATGTGTCCTTATGTTCTTATATCCTCATTTATATACTCTAAATGAGCATTCTTTGCTACTGCTGCCTGCCAACAGTCAATTGGTTCTTCAATATTCTATCTGGAGGCCCTGTATATTTCTTTTGCTCCTACTTCTAGCACCTCATTCTGCATCATCTACTTCTGGTTCTTCCGATCAGACTCCGAATGGGGCAAGCATCGTTGGATACTTTGAGCGTTTAGCCTGTAAGATGGCACATTACGGAGGTTGACGATATAAGTATTATAAAACACATCAAAAAGCGATCAAGCTTTTTCTCATTTTTATTGTTTGGATTAATTATATCATTATATTAATTGAAAATTTATATAGTAAACTTTAGGTAATGAAAGTATTATAAATTTATTCTACTTCTAGCAAAATTACTCAAATTCATTGAAATTTATATTTTTCTTTTTAGAAATACTATTCTAAGCCTATTTAGAATCTATAGGAAGTTTTGAAAGTTTCAAAAGCTTCAAAATTATAAAAGTTGAAAAAGAGTTGAAAATTTGAATAAGAGGATTCAAAATTCGAAATTTTAGAAGGATAACTGAATATTTAATAAAATTAGTAAAAGCAGTATTGGAATTTCGTAAAACAGCAACTTTTATTAAAAATGGGGCTTACACGACTTACGCTGTCAACCTCTGTACAAACCGTTGCTATGGCGGTCAGTAGCTTTATTTCAGGCTGCGTGTCGTGCATGTCTGAAAGTACTTTCCTATATAGGTACGTTGATCGTCTGGTACCTAGGACCGACACGGGATTCGTTTTCTATATGCGTCAATGACATGTAATAGTGGAAAGTGGTAGAGACACTCCTTGCAGTGTTTTCCACCGGCAGGAATCCGGAATCGAACAACGTATCCATCAGATTCATACATCGTATGTTGATTGCGTTGGGTAAAAGGAATGAATGGAAATTTTCACTAGAGACAGTTCTTCCGACACCTTTTTCGGGTCAAGATGACATCACGAAGAGGGAAGATAGCTCATACTCGTACGATGTCACTTATCAATACGAGGGCGTGTCTTTGATGATTGCCGGACTAAAATTTAAGCGAATTTCCTCACCAAAATCATGCTTTATTCTATATATTTATAAATATATAATAATTCAAATATTTATTATAATACTTTAAAATTTGAAAAGTATAGAGAGATTTAATCAATAATTAATTTCATATTAAAATCATTAAATTTGGATTTGAATTGATAATAGAATTCTATATAGAAATTTGATTTTTAGAATAAACATTATTTCTTATAAAATTTTAAGCATAAAAATTCAATATAAATTTTGATTTAATTGAAAACTTCAATAAGAAAATTAAAACTATATTATTAAATTTTTAATAAAAATTTATTACTTTTATAAAATTTCAAATATATAATAATATTGATTGATTTAATATTGAATTTTAAAATAAATGAGTTTGAATGAATTTTGGTATAAAAAAGTGCTTGCGCACAAACCCGGCAATTATCAAAGACATGCCCTCGTATTTTGACCCCTGTTTGCATTAGAACCAAGGCACCTTCCAAACATGCAATTCGATATGATTCCTGGAACCTCAAAGCTCTTTCCCTACATGATTTCATGTGCGTGACGCTCACATGATCTGTCATCGCCAAATCTAGAATATTCCCCAGCCAATTCCGCTCTGCAGTGGATCTCCCCATCCTTGCTCCGACTTTCCCAGGATTTCATTCGACGGCCGCATCATCAAACTCTAAATTTACACACTTAGCGTGGGGGTCAGCAGATCTATTGTGGGGTACATAGTATGATGATCCTTGAGACCGAGGTTCTTTCCATCTCTCTCAACCAAAGTCACATTACCTTCCTCCAAATAGTGACTGTGATGTCCATCCACTCCACTCTTACGAATATTCCGCGTGCTCAACGGACGTGGGGTATCATATTTGTATAGGGAAAGTGGCCCCCGAGATATCCATCCATATTTGAGCTACAAATATTGGGAATTTGTTCGAGTAGTGCTGAATGATAATTTGTTGAGATGCTTTCGGATCAGACCTTTCACGGTGGCATATTTGTACGTAAGTGATGAATAAGATCTGGGATATGGATAGTTCCTATTTCAGTCTATCGAAGCTAATCAAGATTCACACTTACTCTTTTTCGTATTTAAAATGTTGTCCCTTCAATTTATCCATTCTCATCCTCACATTCTCTAGTCGACCATCAATTTAAAACTATACTCTCTCGCCATTGTGCAAGATCTCGAACTCTGAACACAATTGAAAAATGACTGCATCACACTCCTACACGAACGGCAATGGCTTTGCAAGTGGGCATCGTACATTGGTACCAGGAATCTATGTTCCTACTGTTGCATTCTTCCATCCAGAATCTGAAGAAGTCGACATCTCAGCAGTCGCCAAACACGCTTCCAGACTTGCCACTTCTGGAATTGCAGGCCTTGTTGTTCATGGCTCAAATGGAGAAGCAGTTCATCTCACACATTCCGAACGCTCGCTCATCACCTCAACTACACGCGAAGCTCTTGACAAAGCAGGTGCCTCGTCCATGCCCGTTATCGTAGGCTGTGGTACCCAATCAGTTAAGGAAACACTCGAATTGTGTAGAGAAGCTAAAGAGTCAGGTGGAGACTATGCAATTGTTCTTCCACCCAGTTATTACGCATCACTCTTAAACCCACAACTGATATTGGATTTCTTCACACAAGTTGCGGATGCAAGTCCAATCCCCATTATCATATACAACTATCCTGCCGTACAAGGAGGGCTTGATCTTAGTTCCGATGTCATACTTACACTTTCTGTCCATTCAAATATTGTGGGTGTAAAACTCACATGTGGAAATACCGGAAAGTTGGCACGAATCGCCGCATCTGCCAAACCATCCTTCCTTACCGCTGGCGGTTCTGCAGGTTTCATTTTGCAAACCATGGTAGTAGGAGGTGATGGAGTCATAGCTGGATTGGCAAATTTAGCACCAAAAGCTTGTGTAAAAGTCATGAAATTATTCAGAGAAGGAAAGCTAGAAGAGGCGAAAGAGCTGCAAGCAATTGTTGCAAGAGGAGATTGGGTGGCTATCAAGGGCGGTTTCGTTAGTGTGAAAGTTGCATTGGAGAAGTATTACGGATATGGTGGACTACCTAGGAAGCCATGTGCACTGCCTGAGAAGAAAGCATTGGCAGCAATGAATGAAGAGTTTTCAGAATTGCTTGAGTTAGAGAAAACTCTATAGTCCGATTGCGTTGAATGAATGGAATAGGAAACATTTTTAAAGCACTTTCGTTTCAAATAGCTTAATATGTGAAAGAACAACATCTTGACTTGTCTAGCGATTTGGTGAGAACACAGAACATCAAAATGCAAAGCACTAGAGCCCTTTCTCATATTATTTGAAATTCTACTATAGATTATATTCTTAAATTAAGCTTCCTTGTTACTTGCGAGCCTGTCGTCTTTAGATGATCATGAGCAAAATTCAAGTCACATACTCCCTGGAGGTTACCATCCAAGTTACCTCCTGGAGAAAAGATTGTCATTAATTAGGATATATAACGCCATATTCATTGAAAGCTCTACAAGATGTTTCAATCTTACGCCACTTTTGCCTTCGTATATTTAGAATATGGTAGTGTGGGGGTGCAAAGCCAGTTTCATAATTACATGACTACTTAGTTCGGATTATGGCGAGAATGTACAACTGAAGAGCAGCTTTGTAACCGAGTGGCAACTAGGTACGTAGTCGAATCTTGAGAAAACTATCGAGCGTCGTGAGTGTATTCGTTTACAGCGGATGAAAGAGCTAGAGACGTGGCAAAATGGTGAGAGGTGACCTGCCTGACCACCAAAGTTTTATCTTTTTCCTTCTGTTGTCGTCAAAAGAGTGATTGTCATGACTCGCACACTATCTACAGGCTCGATGATTCGAGCTGTTAAGAATACAGTCAGAAAAGTTTTGATAGTCTAAAGTATGCAACTCCGGCGCTATGAAAACCAGGTTAGTCCTCTTGTAGTTTACCATCTTGTGGTATGTGCATCTAGCGTCGGAGTTGCATACTTTCTGGTAGCACGAGTAATCTGGTAATGTGCCGGGATCCGCGATTAATAGCTAAAAAATACTGTTACATCTGGAAAGAACAAGCCTATTCTCTTCTAAGCCTAGTCGTGTTCGCCAACGCGGCAATATCGGGAATGCGAGTGATCCACTTTGTTAATTTTACCGATTGTTACTTCCGAGGTCACCCTCGGTTAGGCGAGTTTGTAGCTACAGATAAACTTGGTTATACCAAACTGAAATTTTCGATCAATCAAATCCGATATATCCATAATTCTGATATAAAAAATGGTGATCCAAGCTTCATAACCAAAATTTATATCCGATTTCAGCTTCAAACTCCAATATTTTCGAAAAATATTATGTAATTATAGTCAATCAAGTTTATTCATTCAAAATTCAGTTTATTCAGCTAAATCTATCACCAAAATTTATATCGGATTTGTGAAAAAAGTGTCTGGTATACCGGTTTTGCTCAAAAATCCGGTATTCTTATATAAAAAGTAATCAAATCAGGAAATTATTCCGGTATATCCAAGATTCCGGTATATCCCAGTCCGGTATAGCCAAGTTTTTCTGTATCGGGAAGGAGAGAAATATTGTTCGTATCTCGGTTAGTTTTATTGAATACGGAAGGTTCCAGGATACCCGCCTGTTGGGATTTGTGATGGGGATGACAATACGTACTAAGCTACGTTGATTCTAAAGATCCACTTCATCTCTTCTCCACCCCCACGCCCGGTTTGTTGACCTAGAGTGGGGGAGGTAATTGAGTTATTTACCTTGCTGGTTTATGTTACTGTATGTATTCCCGAGGTTTCATAAGCAAGCAATGTTTACCTAGGTACATAAGGACCTTGAGAGATATTCATCTGATGTTGATAACAGAGTAGTATTAGAATGTATGTATTTTCTTGGTACTCATAAGCTTACTATGAGTGCAGGTGGAGTTAGTTGATATCGAGACGAGATTCAGGTAAGAGGATAGAATCAGGGGCTCTCATAGACCTAGAAGTCGTTTGATAAGAGTACCTAATTGTAGTCCATACCTTCTTCTAGAATTATCACTTAGCAAAAACTCATGATTTCGGATCGGGCGGTTCTGAGTCTAGAAGTTCATACTAGGGAAGTGGCAGAGAGGAGATTTGGAAAGTGATAGATAGGAGCTGTTATATTACTCATGTTCTTTTCTGGATTCTTTGAGAAAGCCTCTCATGTACAACCAGTCAAGTAACAATTACATCTATCTCTGTATTTGAAAGATGCGTAAAAAGACACACGTCTCTTGGACAATTGTCGGGACGCTCCTTGTAAGTGGAAAGCTACAGGAGCTATAGATATACCAAAAAATGAGATTATGACTCTTGATTAGAAAATACCAGTTTAGTAATTTTCTAGATACTCATTTCAGAGTATTCATCAATTGGCCTCAAGATACTATAATCTGATCTACTCATTTTTTACTCGCCAAGTAGGTCAATCATTTTTAATTGTTTTGATTATAACGTTTTCATTATGGTAAACGTTTCTATCTTATTCATTAAAAGTCCTATGAATTGCTGTCTTAATCAGGGAACTTGGACGATGATTTTACTTCTTTGGGTGAGTATTGAGGCGTCCAGATTTTGACTAGATAAACGCATCACCTGGTGTATGAGTATTGTTTAAACTATACAATATATAGACCAATGCTTGACAATATATACTCGATAGAACAAAAAAGACTATTAATATGCAGTAAACTTTTTCGAGAGACTTCATTTGATTTTTTTTACCAAGAACTAGTCCGGTAGCACGTAGCGGACGAAAAAGAGCGCGTTTAGATAGGATTTCAATAGTAATACATAGTGTCTAAGTATCGATATTGACATAGGGAGTCACAGAGGCAAAGTCAAACAGTCTGAATCTAATTTAAAGACGAATAACCTCATAGGGTTTAGGTATATTCTATTTCGGTGTGTGTTTCATCTTGTGGTTTAAGGTCGCCTCTTCTCCTCGAGGGGCTTAGCGAGATCTCTGAAGGAATTCGAATGACCATGACGCACGGATTCTTGAAGATCCTCTCGAATGAGATTATGCGGAAGTTTAGAATCCAGATTTTGAAATTGTTTGCTCAATGGGAGGTTTCTATGAATCTCGCCATAAGAGAATTGATTTGAAAATTAGGGTTGGAATACGACGTAATGGGATAGATAGGTGATTAAAGAGTAGGGGATAGAATAGGATGTTATCAGATAGAATGAGATGGAAAGAAAGAATTCCCGATAACTCGCGAACCAACCTCAAATACATTTCATTCATTCCCACATAATGAACATGAAAACCAAACTCTGAAAAGTAGAAAATAGATGGAAGAGAACAGTTAACAGATTTTGGAACGTGATGTTATAAGTAGATAACAACCCATTTTGATCATTTACAAGAAAGAGAAAATGAAATATCGATCAGAGAAGAGTATTGTCTTTTGCTCTTCTCTTACATCTCCATATTATCTCCTCCTCTTGGACCTCTTCTCCTTTCAGTCCTTTGGTCTTATGATGTTTTTTTGACCGTAAGGGGAAATGGGTATTGGCCAAGAAGGTACTTAGATATCAAATACTGGTTACAGTATTTAGTTTACATTCAAATTCTCAAAGAAGTCTTACGATAAAAAGAAAAGACTCAAGCCATAAGTGAAATTGAATTATACTAATTGTCTTGTGATATCCAGCAATCTCTTTAATCACACAGGTAACTTTTTCTCAAATCGATGAAATGAAGATATGAAGATATGTCCAATAATCAGAAAGATTCGTTCCTGTCGTTCCCTTTCTCTCTTATTCTAAATGTTCCAAACCAGCCGGAGATAGAGAGAAACAAGGATTGTGAGCCTTCAAAGCGAACTTTTGAGAAGAGCAGAAGCCAGCGCATCTCCCACCGAATCATGCTCAGTCCTACCAGTTTCATCCTCCTGATCACCATATCCAGATTCCTACAAACCATCTCCAGCAGTAGAATTATAACCCTCCCAGTCAGAAGATCCGAGCAGCTCCAAATCATTATCATCGGATTCGCAGCTACAAACAAACTCATCCCCGGATAAAGACAATGCTTATTATGATCCGATATTGGGCAGCCCATTTTCTCGAAGCTTAAGAGCTGTACATGGGGAAGCTTCCAATCAGGATTATCTAGAACCCCTTCCTCTGGAAAATTAGCCATCAAAATTTGGAAGCTCATACCTTTCAACGAAAGATTCTTCCCATATAGGCTTCCACAACTCCCACCTTGCAAATGTCCAATCAACCTTTAGTCGTTGCGATGTTAGCTTTAAACCCCTGTAGTAACGAGCCGGCATAACATGATGAGGTAAGGAATCTTCAGAGTCATTATCACTGTCCTCGCTCGAACTTTGATCGCCTCCAACATTACCATCATCTGCAACCGTGAAATCATCATCGAGATGTCCGCCTGAACTTTCAAAGTGGCCTGAGGCTGTAGCAGCATCATCATCAATATTGCTGACACCCTCAAAGTCTGGCTCCTCCTCCTCCTCCTCCCCCTCCTCCTCAACCTTATCGGAACTTCCATAGATTTCAGTTTCATGAACAATATCGCCATCCTGTGGTTTCCTGTGCAAAACCCCTGTCCCGTCCCTGTGAGCCTTGTTGTCTCGCAAATCCTTGATATCTGATTTACGCAAGAAAAAGGTTACTACGTGAACATTTGTCAGTTGCTGAATTGAATATCTGATATAAGATTCGAGCCAGTGGTTCCACTCCAGGAACATGTTATCACCAAATTTGTATCCCTCCCTGACAAAGTTAAGCTTTTGATCTGGAAATTCGCCATCGTTGCCATTCCACCCCGAATCATCGAGTCTGAAGCAAATCTTCCGAAATATGAAGGGAGACACATAGGGACCTAAATAAGAACCGGTCGTGCAACGAAGATTAACCGATATGCCTATGATGATTTTCCAATCATAGACTACCACGGCCGTGTTACTTTTCGGTGTGCCTTCTTGACCGAATTTCAACATGCTAATGGAAGCCCTCCTGCTCTCTTACACACTACCCGTATATCTCGAAAGATAGCACTCAAATACTATCAGTCTTGCTTCTCGTCTTTTCTGGAACGGCCTATTTACTACCATCCCGAGAAAGATCTTGTTTATATCAATCGATTGAACAATGCGATGAGGGATATCACTTATAGAAAGAATCCTTTTGGATGGGCATCGGAGGAGGATAAAAGGCGCATTACCCACTTGGCGTTCAATTATGAAGATTCTCTCTTCTTCTATTGATTGAACGGTATGCATTGATGGCGTCGTAGTTTCTTGATTTGACTTATCCATTGAGATTGTAAAATTTGTTCGATAGTTTTGCGCATAAATTAATAGAAGATTTCTCTTACAAAGATTGGAAACGAATAGAACACGTATAGAAAATGTGTAAAGTGCAAAATCTTCTTTCAAGATATAACGAAGCTAAAAGTCTCGTTCGTCATGTATGAGAGCTTGGCAGGCTAGAGAAAAGATCGACCACTACTTTCGTGGGATAATACCATGAACTTTTCCCTCAACTCCTACTTGTCATCTAAACTCATATGGAATGGTGAAAGTAGGTGCATTTATCAAAAGAAGAAGAATAGAACAACTGCAAATGGCCAAGAATTTTGAACAAGTTCCAGATTAACCCCAAAATTCAACAGGTCTGACTTGATGGTAATGATACAACCAAGAACGTAGGATGTTTTAGTACTTCATTTTAGGACATGTGTTCAAACGTGATCTTTGAATCTGATGAATTCTTTACTGATATTGAATATGCCTTTTTAGAATGTGTGCATTACACATAGAATCTGGAACTTAAAAATCTAAAGGATCTCTAAGGATTCTCGAAGTGACAGAGAAGCTTGTTTGGAAGGGGAGAGTCTCCTTCGATCATATGATTAAGCATTAGCTTCGATTCTATAATAAGGCTCAACTATACCCAATCAGAAACCTTCAACTACTGTTCATCAAAATGCTCAAGCTTGAATGACTTCACAGGATTTAGAACTCAATCTGACTTTCGATGTTGTGGACCACGTCCTCAAACTCTTTTACTGCTGCTCTTGGCTCGTCATGCTAGAATGGCGTTTCAGACAAACTCCCTTGAACCCAATCCATTGTGGAAACCAGCATCATATTCAAAGACTAGATTATACATAGCAGCAATCGAGTCTATCCAAATATCAAAAACTCTATCAATCTTAAAACAACAAAGCAGATCGATTGAATTCGAGTTGAGTAGTTTCAATACGCAACCGTATATAACAATCATCACCTACCCTAACAGCCCGCGGAGCCACCCCGCAAACAAAAACAATAAAAATTGAAAAGTGGAAAACTCCATGGTGTACTACTCTGACTCTAAAAGATCGAGTACTTACTTCGTCTTCCAAGTCCCCAGTCTGTTGCAGAATCATACATATACGATGTGCAGATCCGCAGGAACTCCTCGAGAGGAAAAAAAAACCATTCAAACCATCGATACACATCACAGCACATACCTATATCGCAGATGACACCCATGAATCACTCAGAAGAGAAAAGAAAATAATTTTATAATCTCAAACAAAAATCTCGCGTACACTCAAACTCCTATTTTGTAAGGAAGCAAGCTATATCCATATTCGCCATTAATATTAGAGGTATCGTATCATATCCATATATCATCTTCCATTTCATACCCTGTTTAATTCGCCATCCCATCCCGTCCCAAAGAATTCATCGCCACCTGGCCCTCATCCTGATTTTCATTCTCATACTCATACTCACAAGATCAAAGCAACAGCTCCCACCATGCCCATAATTCCTGCAACTCCAATCCCCACCCCCGATCTTCCCACACCACTATTCCCAGTCGCACTAGCCGTCGTACTTGCACTTAACGCAGAAGCACTAGCACTCGCCACAACTGTCGTAACCGTAGCCACGACCTCACTGACCGTACTCGCCGCCCGCGTACTAGCACTTCTCGTCGTTCCTGAGATAGTGGTCTCCGTAGTCTCTATTTGAACTTCCGTGCTAACAAATTTATTTCCCCCAATTGAAGTTGTAATTGTCGTCGAGACTGAAATCGTCTGCTGAGAAATGCTTTCCGAAACAGTAGTCGCGGGAATCGTAGTAGCAGGAATAGTACTGGCAGGAAGCGTCGTCGTGTAAGTAACTGTAACTCCACCTAAAACCGATGCGGGAATAGCGCTACCTACTCCACTAGCAGTGAATTGGGATGGCATAGGGAGGGTAGCGGTATTGGGCTTGGCGGCGCTGTTGCTACTGTAGATATTTCCTGTTGTTCCATCTTTATCTGTATAATCTCCCGATTCCAAATTGGCGGTAGCACCCGAAGAAGAACTATATGACCCTCCTACTACAGTTCCATAACTGTCATCTGGAAGATAATAATTGGTTGTGAATTGATCGTAGCAAAAAGGGATGTTTAAAGAGTGCATGGTGAGACATGTTAAAGAAGAAACGCAGCATAATGAAGCCGAGTCGCGTTTCTTGATAATATGCTCTGAGGATGAAGAAAGCGATCGTTTGCTTGCAGGTAGAGAGGAGAGAACGATATCTTGGAATAGATTCACGAAATCTGGATCGCCGATTTGTGGGGTAGTGGCAGTAGTCGCCCCAGCCGGAGAACAAAGGGTGTATCCTTGTTGACACTCACCGCGAGACTTGAGAGCGGATGCTGTCGCCAATGCTGCAGGCGCAATAAATGCGATCAGAAGTTGATGGCGCATCTTGTTTGTATGTATAAGTCGTCGTGATTAGGGGTGTATCAAATATATGATGTACAACCTGAGGTTTGTATGTATGTACTGGGGTTGGAGTAGATATTAAAGTAAATAATTTGAAGTAGAAGGAAACCACCTTGATCCGGAAAGCGAAGTGTTACCTGCAAGCAATACAATCAAGGAATATTAAAAAGAGTGGGATAGATTGCAAATTGCTGACAAGAGCAATAACGAACGATTGACAGTGAATGTTCTCGCCGACACGTCTGAATTTCCTTCACAATATACAAATGTGCAATGCGACAATGTTTAAAGAGAACAGAAACACAGAAGTATTCGATTCAAGAAAAGAGAGATAGAATTTTCCGTCAACCAACAGGAAGAAAGCAAGGAGAGTAAAATACTTGTTGGCTGCTCGGGTTGGACAATACCGTGAACTCACTGAATCAAGGATGGCTAGTATAGATAGTACTTGCATGATCGGGACACGAGACCCGTTCGGCGTTCATAGGCCGTCGATTTGCTTGTGCCTTGCAGAGGGTCTTGCATTGTGCAGATGGATGGAATTTGTATGGACGAGAGGAAAGAAGAGGAAAAAAAAGAAAGTCAATATTCACGGTCACATTGTTGAGGGTTTCACTTAGTTGGTTGGATGGTGGATGATGTTGATTTGCTTAGTCATGTGAGGTTAGCTTGCGTTAATTAGGTAAGGTTAACTAGTGGATTAAGGTTATTTTAAGGCTCGAGGTCTAAATAATTGTGAATTCAAAGCGCTTCACAAGCGTCGGATATTTGTTGATTACTACTCGCACCTCCTCGGTAGGTACCAGGTCGGTAGATACATCGGAAAGTATTTGGCGATATCTAATGAGTACTACCTACCAAGATCTAATTATACAATCTCCTTCAATCGAATCTCAACTATTCGCTTCCTCTTATCAATGAAGTATCTTATCAAAGTATGAAGTATCTTATATCTTATTAAAGTATGAACTATAACCTCATCAACCCTCCTCCTCATCACCTCAAACCAACATCCCACCAAAGCAAGCCCCGATTGACCCACAACCGACTCATCTGGCCCCAGCACTCACTATCCACCCCTCCTTCTGCTTCTCATCGTCTATGGCCGTTTTATCCGTTGCACGTCAATCATCAAAGTGTCTGAGCATTATTGAAAGTCGGAGCGCAACCATTATCAATCTTTCTTGCAATCTAGACAGTTCTGTGAGGACCTCGGGAATGTTCATTGTCTGACCGCACCGCCACAGAACAGCCATCTGCTCGCCGAATAATTCCCTTTCGGGTATTGCTGCACCGGGAACCTCTTCAAGAGAATTGGGAAGTGATGTCAAAATGTAAATGTAAGAAAGAAAGGTCTAGGGAGTCCGTTTCTAGCTTCGTTGATTTCTAACGTTTGCTATCTCATTCTTGTGCCCCCTACCCCCCTCTGCCAAGTCAATCCAATGTCAAAAGCTTACTCAGTTGATCCCTAACACTTCGTGCTCCCATCAATCATGAAAATAAAAGTTATAAAACAAGAAAGCGTGGGTATACATAAGTCTCATCTATTCTTATAATCTTCGTTGCTCGTCACTTCTTTCTCTTCTTTATTCATCCACTGCCCCTCCATATCTATATCCGTTTCCCCAACTCCGCTCACTCTTTCTCACAATGCTACCACCGCCAAACTCCCTTATCTCATTCAATCATTCCACAACAATAGGTAATATCCTCAGGCTAAATCCAATTACACAATAAGCTCCCCAGTCCGCTCCAATAGATTTTCTTTACTTGAATCTCCACTAGGGTTTATTCATTTATTTCTGTCCTGAGAAAAACCATGAACTTCTCTTTGTGTTCCCGGTGCTTCCTGTGTCCGAGTTTTGCAAGTTTCCGATGATTGGAATTTGCGCATCACCACCACCGCCTCTCAGTGGTTTGGCAATTCGGCTTCCGGCGCCACCAAAGCTAAATCCACCCGTAGGTGAGCCTAGTCCACGGGTACTGCCTGCCTTGGCAGCTTCGAGACGTTCTTTTACCGCTGAAAGTTGAGCTTCAAATCTAAAGTAATTGTTAGTAATGCTATTGATGTACAACTGAAAGCAATCGGAAAGGAAGGCGGAAGTAAAGAGGGAATTCGAACCTGTGACTGGCAGTAGTCAATTTCTCTTGAGAATCTTGTAACAGACTCTCCAAACTCTGAATCCGTTCATTCCTTGCAATCAACTTCCTCTCAGCAATCGCAACTTCCTTCTTCAAGCTGCCATTTTGTTCAACCAATTGTCTCTGAACATGAGTCAATTGCTCTAGATTTCTTTCCAAGAAAGCCATCTTCTTCTGTTGAGCTCTGTTGTTAGACGAACGAAGAACGTTGTTATATTGTTCGCGAGTCTCATCGAGGGAGATTTCTAGTTCAACAACTCGTTCACAACGATTTTGCAAGTCCCGCATCAAACTCTTCTTCATCACGTCGAATTCGGCGATCTGTTGTTGAACAGTCTTGCCGCTTGCTGAGCCTGGTGCTGTACCATTGGATGAACTGCCTGACTTGACTCTTTGTTGCAAGTCTTCATTTACAGCCTTGAACTTCTCAATCTCAGCCGACTTTTGAGCGACCTCCTTCTTGAGGTCTTCCACCAATTCGACCTTGATGTCTTGATTGTTGGAGTATGCCTTCTCTAGACGCTCCTTGATCTCAGCAACATCCCCTTCGCCTAGGTTGCGTTCGAGAAGGTCTTCGTATTCTTGCTCGAGGACTTGAAGACGTTGTTCTAACTCTTCTCGGCGCTTGACATTGGCATCATTCGATGATGAACCGAACATTGAAAGTTCTGCCTGTCGAACAATACCCTGAGTCTCGACAAGTTTTGCCTTCAATTCTTCAAACTCATCAGGGGGAATGGCTTCCCCGGCAGAGCTTTGCTCATGTAGAGAATCAATATGATCAATGACCTTCTTGATGGTCGCTTCGTTCTCACTGAAAATATCTCCGCCAAGATCAAATCCAGCCATCATTTGTGCCATCTTCTCAGCCTTTCTCTTCTCCTTCTCATCCAAGGCAGCAGTCGATTCTTTGGCGCTCATTTTTACATTAAGCAATTGCTGCTTGAGTTCGTCGAGCTCTGCGGTCAGTTCGGCGTTGGCTTCTTTCAAACTGTCCATGGTAATTTGTGCCTCTTTACTCTCGAATGCTAATCGCTCAAGTTGCATCTTAAATTCGTTTGCTTCACTAGTAAGTTTCTCATTATCCTTGTTGACCTTTGTATCCCGCTCCTTTAGATATGTGAGTTCCTCTTTGGTGTCTCGCAAGGTCTTCTCTGCAGCCGCAATTTGAGTTTCCTTTTCCGTTATCTGATCTTGAAGTTCATTTTCACGTCGTAGAAATTCTTCTCTCTCGTCCTTGTCTATTGGTAGACCTGGAGTGGCGGACCTTTCTGTCAACGGTGTCTCTGCACGACTTTCTGTTGCGAGACGTGAGGGTGTAGATGGCCGGGGTGTTTGAGCTGCTGCTGCTTTTGTCCCACTGACGCCTGCGAGAGGGGGTGCCCATTGCTCCTTTGGTACAGATTCTCCCTTACGCCAAAGTTGAACTTCTCCTTCAAGTGTAGAAACATAGGTTTCGAAAGTAGTAACTTGAGATTGAGCCTTTCTAAGTAAGGCTTTGAGTTCCGCTGGACTGAGTTCTGCGTTGACCTTGGCCTTATTCTTGATTGCCTTTGCTCGCATACCGAATCTCAAGGTACTCAGGGTTTCTTCGGCATTGTAACTACTGGGTGAGCAGTTGATAATGAGTGTTGTCCTACTATTTCCTCCTAAACTCTCTTGTAGAATTCTGGTAAGTTTCGAGTCTCGATAAGGAATATGCGATGATTTGCCGTCTGTCAGATTGTTGATAACCATACCAAGAGCACTCAAACTCTTGTTGATCTTCTTTGCCTCCTCCAACGTTTGTCCACTGGCACCAGTCTTTCCGACCTTTTCACTACCAGCCAAATCGACCAAGAAAAGCTGACCGCTCTTTGCCGACCCGGTTTCAACGTTCTTTTGTGTGATCGTTATAACGAATATAGAATGTGATCGAGAAGACTCTGCGTTCATGTTGGTCGAAGCTACCACTCTTGCATCCCCTCCTCTTTTCAAAACTTCGTAGACTTCTTGAACACTTGAAACATAAACCTCTAATAAACCTTTCACGTAAACGCCTCTATTCTTTTCTTCGTGGATTGGCAGATTGTCGTTCTGCGGCTGTAGCAAATCTCTAATGCGTTCCATGTAGATTTCCATGTAGCTGACTCTCACTGTATACTCGATCGTCCCTGGACTGGACAGAATGCTGGCGAATATTTGCTCCACAATTCTGGGAATAACACCTCTACCATCATCATTGTCAAGGTTTGTTCCCATCATAGTATACGACTTTCCCGCTCCTGTTTGACCATATGCAAAGACCGTTCCATTATAACCGTTGAGAATATCGTCCACAGTGGGCTTGATAGAGAAGTCGAAAATATCTTTCTGCCGTGAGCTCATGCCAAAGACACGATCGAATGTGAAAGAACCAGCCGCTCCATTTGACTATCTCTGAGGTCAGTAGAGTACCGTATCTTCAAAGAGTTAAGTTTCACAAGACACATACATCAAGAGCGCAGGTATCATCAGCCTCGAATTTTACAACTGGTTGAGCACCCTGCTCATTCTCAATGCGATTCTGCGGCCTAAACCGACAGACAACCTTAATAGAGTTCGACATGATCGCGAGATGGTTGCTATCCCGGAACGACCATATGTACAAGAGTCGAACTCAGAATTTATGTTGTCGTTGCAGTTTCAAAGAACGTTGTATTTGAGTACTGCTTTGTGGTCAGTGGTTGATAAGGGGAGGATGTTGACACACAATCGCGCTAAAGATCTTCGCGTAGCAATTCCCAAGGCCAATGCAATGTCGGAAGAAATAAATTTGTGTCAATGCAATGCGACCATACAGAAAAGGTTGTACGGTAATGACTAGGGATATGCTTGTATGAGGAGTAATATCAATGAGTTGTTATGATTGTCAAACAGTACCAGTAAGAATACTTTTTGTACGGTGTGATGAATCCAGAAAAGCAAAAGAAAATTACTAAGTAGATCCGTGATTCATTTTTAATCGATTGTGCTGTGTTACCATAGGTACCGTGTGGCATGTATGTACATTATCTACGATAGGTAAAAGCAGGTTGTCTGAACAAAACGATATGCTTCAGAAATATCGAACAGTGCTGTGTGAGATGCACCATGGTAGAGAAAATCTTGTCCTATTGACTAACTCTTCGAGAAAATAACCATATAAACATATTGTGAAGGGAAACTCCATGATAGATGCCCTTTCGAAAACTCCATAACCCCGCCATGTCATCATTAAAAGAGGCGTAACGTAAATATGACCAGGTAAAGTATCACGTTGAGTGTGCTTCAAAGCAGTTCAGCCATTATATGAGCTTCTCAAATGTTTGAAAATCCATCATCAATTATCCTCCCAACTCTTTTCCACCGTTTCCCTAACACGCTTTGTGTATTCTCTTCTGTTGTCTTTGTACAAGTTGGAAGCTTCGACATTGGCGGGCGAGCCAGTGTTTGGGTCATTAAGAAGACTACTCATAGATTAGTACATATATCTGGAAACCAATAGACCATTTGTGAAGTATTGATGTACCTTTGAATACTCGTCAAAACAGCCGCAACATCATATGTGGGACTCCACCTGTTCTGCAAAATATCTAAACACAACTCTCCGGTTGCATAAACGTTAGGATGAAACATTTGGCTGATGAACTTGACGGCAGGAGGCTTATTTGGATATTGTTCCTCGAAGGTCATGACGAGTCGAAAAGTTCCATCTTCAAAGGGAGTATCTGCAGGACCGATAATGACGGCATTCCTAACAGTTTCATTATTGGCATCAAGTCCATGAAGATTAGAATTTCTTCGGGGAGACTAACCAAAGCATCACATTGTCTGCAACAGGAGATGCGGAAACACCAGCGGGAGGATCAGTTTGCATGCGCTGTAGATGAGCGTTAGAGTTGCTCTCCAATTATCTGGGTACCCCTCCATTCCTGGATAATGATTGCCACTAACCTTGAAATCGCGCATGAGACGACGACGAGCAGCTGTAGACATGATGGAGAATTGTGCGAATGATAACCAAGAATCAGGAAGTGGAGTTCTTGTTGGATCGCGTTGGACCTGAATGGATGGGAATGTTTTATTATTTGAGTGATAGCTTTGAGGTATGCCGAAAAGCAAGTTCTATCGGATGGATATTAGTGTCCGATGTGAAAGCCGGCGGCGGAAGTTTATGTGGGCTGCCGCAAAGGATGATGAGTTTATCGGAAAGTTTTGATTGGAAAGGAATGAAATGACCAGTTCTAGAAAAGTGAAGAAGACTTCGCAATTCACTTGAGCGTTTTCGATGTTATACAGAGACGTATCGAGGTCTCACGACTTTGTTGGTGTGATTCGAATTTTCATTAACAATGGCCCAGCACGGTACCAACAGCCATAATAATTATAGACCGCTTTCACTCAACCCTTTTGACCCCTTCATGCAAGATTTGTCCACCAGAACCGCCACGCAAACAAGGCTCGAGCAAGGATCCTTGAGTCATGTTATCGTGGAGTCACGTGGAGATTGTGACGATAAGCTACAGCAGAATGGGCTTAGTGGCTGTCTCACAGCTACCTGGGCACGTGTAGGTCCGAGCATTTTACTCTGGGGTAAATGGAATATGGAATACATTCCGCCGGTGCTAACCGCGGGACAATCGGGACAATCAATGCTGAATATTGATCAGAAGCAACTCATTCATCACTTTTTCTGCCCTTTTTTCCATAAAGTCTTTTGGCTTGATCAACGCTCTCCTGTCTTGTGAATCCTCCAAACACAGTCATCATGTTTTCACGTACTGCCAAATCTCCGATTAGAAATTTAAGGATGTCGTCTCCATCATCACGGTTAGCACAAGTTCAACGGCAATTCAGCGCAAGTACCTCGGCCAAAAGAGAGATTCAAGATGCATACATTTTGAGTGCATCAAGGACACCTACTGCAAAGGTAATTCGATCTATTTCAATATATCATTCAAAGTTGACGAAAACTAAACGGGATGACAGTTCAATGGGTCATTTCTTACTGTGAATGCCCCTCAACTTGGCGCTGTAGCCATCAAATCTGCACTCGAGAAATCCAAAGTTCCGGTCGAAAAAATCTCAGATGTATACATGGGAAACGTATTGCAGGGTGGTGTTGGACAAGCACCAGCTCGGCAAGCTGCTATTTTCGCTGGCCTCCCTTCATCAGTTGAAGCGACCACAATCAATAAGGTATGCGCATCCGGAATGAAAGCCGTTGTGTTAGCTGCACAAAACATCCAACTCGGTCTCGCAGAAGCGCAGATTGCGGGAGGAATGGAAAATATGTCTCGAGTACCATATTATTATCCTCGAGCTAGCAGTCTTCCTCCATTTGGAAATGTACAAGCTGAAGACGGGCTCATTAAAGATGGCCTATGGGATGTTTACAACCAATTTCACATGGGTGTATGCGCGGAGACCACGGCAAAGAAATATGAAATTACACGAGAACAACAAGACGAATACGCTATCCAATCATATAAACGGGCGCAAGAAGCATGGAAAGTCGGCGCATTCAAAGAGGAGATTGCCCCGGTAACCGTAAAGGGTCGAAAGGGCGACACGATCATCGATACAGATGAGGGTTATCTGGATGTCAAGTTCGATAAGGTTTCCTCATTAAAACCAGCATTTGTTAGAGATGGAAGTGGAACAATTACCGCTGCCAATGCTTCGACATTTAATGACGGCGCTAGCGCATTGGTATTGGGAAACAAAGCCATTGCACAACAATATGGAACCGGATCGAGAGTATTAGCAAGAATCTGTGGCTCTGCAGATGCTGCAATTGATCCAATTGATTTCCCAGTAGCTCCCGCCAAAGCAGTGCCACTTGCTCTAGAACGAGCTGGAATCAAGAAGGAAGATGTAGCAATTTGGGAGTTCAACGAGGCATTCGCAGCAGTTATCAAGGCAAATGAAAAGGTTTGTCCCACTCGATCGGATTGATCAACGAAAATACTTACACAATCTAGATCCTCGGACTTGAGAACGCAAAAGTTAATCTACTTGGTGGAGCAATCTCACTTGGCCATGCTCTAGGAAGTTCGGGTTCACGAATTCTCACAACATTATTGCATCAATTAAAAGTCGGAGAATATGGTGTTGCAGCGATTTGCAATGGTGGTGGTGCGGCGACGGCGATCGTCGTACAGAGAATTGATAGCGTATAATTATGATTTATGATGTTTGGACTGGTTCTAGGTCCGGGATTAGGTAATCAAGATCAAAAGAACTCATTGATTTATCACAAATTAGATTTATCTCATTGGAAATATTTCAATATCAAAACAAAATGTGAAACACAAACGACATCGAAATTAAGGTTCTAAAGCAGCTCAGTCCTTTCCCGCTTACCTCTTTATGGAAAGGGGGGGCATTTTTCACATGTCAACGGAAGGAACCGAGATCCTGGAAACTCTATCCCACTTCGCTTGTGACATCATCGTCGCGATCAATGCAGGTGTTTGGTTTCAACATTCGATTTCTTTCAAAGATGCGCGCAATTCATTCATTGGTTCTGCAATCGACATTCCTTTCACCCGATAGAAAATATAACTCGACAGACTACGCAATTGCAATCAGCGAGTGAAGAAATTCAATCAAAATGGATAATCCAAGTAAGTTCAAGATTCAAAATTGAAGGAATCTTATCCTCACGCTAGGAGAATCGCAATAGTACCTCGAATCCCCATATTATCCTCCTGTTCCTTCTCTCCCTTCATCTCACTCATTGTTCCCTTGAACACCTTACTAATTATTGAATGTAGAATCACAAATCACATCTCTGATCCACACCCTCTGTTCCGGGGCTCCCTCCGCCCAACAAAAAGCTCTACAACAGTATTTCACCCCCGACGCATCGTTCTCGCATCCACTGTGCTCGGTACCTTCTTTTTCTTCTGTTCGACTACCCCTGGTTGGAGAGGTCAATAGTAGATGGGTATTGGGGTGTGTGTATAAATGGTATAAGGTGTTGAGTCCAAGGGTTGTGGTGGGAGTGGATGGAGTTGGTGAGTTTTCTCATGATTTTTGATTGGCATGGGGTGGAAAGGAAGGGGGAAGGAAGGGGAAAAGACAGGGAAAAGGGAGGAGAAGGAGGGAACGGGGAAATGGGGATATGGAGGAGGTCAAGGATAGAGGAGTTGATGGGATGGAACTATGTGATGCAATTTGGAGCCATTGCTAATCTTTATCAACTCTAGAATATAACCCAGAAACGCAAACTCTCTTTCTCCAACTCCATCAACAATTCCACCTCTTCTTCCTTCCATTTTTCTATCCAACAGTGTACCTAACCACAATCCTTAATCTCTCCCCCGTCAAACAATCTTCTAAAACCAGGTCCTCAGCATCCGAAACCAAATACCTTATAAAGCACCAAGAAGATCTCTATCAATCTGCAGAACTCGTCAAGTTTTTCTGGCCGGGAGGAACACAAATTATTAGCCTTTGGAGGCTGATTGCGACATTTTTATGTATAGTAGGGGCAATGATGTTTGCGCCGATGACGTGGATGGAGGAGCGGGGATGGTTTGGCAATGGGATGGATGTAAAGAGGGGCGAGAAAGAAGATGGAGGGGAGCACGAGACAGGTGATCGCGAGACTAATGGGGTGAATGGCTCAAGGAGAGAGAAGAGAACGAAAACGATTAGTGGATCCGGGGGGAAGAATAGATAGGTGGATTTGGTTAAGATTAAAATTGTACATGTTTCGGGAAGGATTGAATGAATTTTTGGGATTCGTTTGGTTGGATGGAGATTTATAGCTAATTTTATTATAAGAATAATTTTGTTGCATATCTGAAAAAAAAAATGAGCTTGCTCACTCACGTTAGCAAAGAAATTCAGAAAGTTCCTCTATCGACGTACGAGGATAAAATTTCAGATATGCAACAAGACTCCCTTCAGTACTGAAATAGGAAACTCGTTTTGAGGTCCACACGAAAGACAAACTGGTTGGAAGGACAAGTGAATTATGAAATATATTTACCTAGATAGATGGAGGTTTCTGAATATGGTGTCAAGAATGGGCTATTACTGTCACAACTCATTCACAGAAGATGGAAGGAAGCCAAAATAAAACATGCTGAGTTTTTAATTAGATTTGCTACATAAATACACTAGGTAGATACGTGATACTAATATACATTCTGGTACTTTCTCGTATTATTCTGACATTTTATTACTTTTGGAGGGTTAATGATACGAGTAAAAGTAGGTGTATTTTCTTAATACTATATCCTCATGACCGCCATTGCTAAGTGATGCACCTTTTGTTCGTTGATGTGTCGGATGTTCATCATCCTTTAAGAGTTTGGTGTATCGCGGATGGTGATGTGTTTTGATAGATGAATTGTGGGAGACTCCGGTGGTTCAATTCAGACTCGGAAGATTGGATGCTGAATATTAAACTTTAAGATTTAAAGTGTAAATCGTGAGGAGAACTGGAGAGATTAATCTGCTAGCTAGCAAATACTGCTTTGCGATGTGTGTTATTAAGGCTGATATGAGTGAGGATTTTGAACTAAGTTTATGATACGCTGCGGGTAGTCTTAATGATCCGGTATTGTTTTGTATAAGAATATAGTCGCTATGTATCGAATGGCCGAAAATGATGTGAAGATGGTGGTTCAATCTGATAGTAGGTGATAGTTGGTTGTATCAGGTTGTATATTGAAGTCGAGATAAGTAGAGACTGGAAATTTCGTGAAGATGACGAAGGAAATGAATTGCTCGTTAGGCTCGTGATAGTTTTCAGAAGTCCAGGGCGAAAGTTAGTTTCAAGCATCAAATTAGGAAAAATGAGTTCTCTGAGGATAACTGAGTCATCTCAGTGGATACACTCATCAAATATTGATGATGTTCGGGGGGTATAGAAGAATCAACACCTATGGTATTGAACTGCAACGAGAATAATTGGGTGTCTGGTTGCGCTTTAATGCCTCTGACTAATCTTCTTTTGCGGACTGGAACTTCTGGTGATTGAGAGCCGGAAGCTTCATTCTATTGTTGTCAATCTACAGATTCATCTTCTTGAATGAGATCTGGTTGATGAACTTGTTGTAACTTCCAGCGACGTATCGCTTCTTTGTGTTCTCGTCGTAACATTCGAGATGGCCCGAGAGGTTGTGCGTCTGCATTGGCGAATTTTTGTTCTTCAGCTCTTGATTTGATACCCCTGCATAGTCTTCGTCTACGAGCCGGAGCTTCTGGCAGTTGAGACTCGGTAGCTTCATCTCGTGGACTGGGAGGTGGCTGATTAGCGTATCGTATCTTCCAGGCACGTATCGCTTCTCTTTCTCGTCGTAACGTTTGAGGTGAACGGCGGACACGACGAGCTTTCATTGGTGAATTTTGTTCTTCGGCTCTTGGCTTGATGCCCCTGCATTGTCTCCGTCTACGAGCCGGAGCTCCTTGCTGTTGAGCCTTGGCAAGTTTACGTTGTTGCGACTTCCAAGCGCGAAGTTTGTTTTGAAAGTATTTTCGTAACTTTTCATATGGACTGAATCTATGCGCTTTTGCTATTAACCTGGGGATTACTGTATCTCTGTAAATTTGGTTTCGAAGTTCAAGTTCCAATGGCAAATCCGAATAGTCTGACATAGCTGCAGTTGTTATGTATAAGAGGCTTCAATATCTAGGCTGAGTGTTCAGAATGAACCAGGAAATTAACGTCTGATGGTAGTTCAGACGGTTCAAACACCCGATTGTGGGTTAAATTGATCGATATAATAATATTCAGGTCCAAGCTAACGGGGAAGCGGATGAAGCCTGCAGATGAAACGAATCAACTTGTGAACCTACACAAATGTCTTGATCGGGTTGCACTCACATTCGCTTAAGGTTTTCCCCACGCGAGTATCCAGACGCTGGGAGCAAAAAGATTGGATGGGTGCAATTATTGTGCTTTCGTTGGTTTCAAGTACTGATATTCGATGAGATATGTGTCAAAATGATGGCAGTAAGTGTTTCATCAAATTGTTCGGTAAATTGGAGGTTGATGTATTGCAGTACCAAGGGCGAGGTATAAATGTTGATAATTGTGAATGGTGATGATTATTTCGATAGCAGTGACGATTATGATAAGGTGATAAAAATAGAAATGAGAAATGTTGTGGGATAAAAGACTTCTGCGGAGTTTCGACACTAGAGGTCTCATTGGACTGATCTAAGGGTGTTAGTACGCCAAGCTTGAGTATGGAGATCAGAAGAAGGTGATAGTCTGAATATGCATATAATCTATGATTAGATTGGCTCTAGGGCCCTTAGGGGCATGGTTGGCACAATGGTAACCAAATCCATTATGATAAAATCTATTTTTCTAGAGCTAATGTGTAAGCTGGAAGTGATTGACAGCAGTACAATCTATATTAGTGAAGGTTTTATGGTTAGTTGGTGCGATTGGCGATCTTGGAATGCACTTGAAAAAATGCTAATTAAATTTGGATACCTTCTTTGCTTTTCACTCGTTCCTATGTTTGGTGGATGACGCTTACGTAGACTAGCGAGGGATAGGGAGAAAATATTGCAGACACGTGTCAAAAGTTTGAAGGAAGTATAATACTGGTTCTCAATGCTCACTACCACAAAGAAGTTTAAAGTGTTAGAGTTTAAGTCTAGTCGCATTAGGAGAAAAAAGAGTCATCTCCAAACTTGAATCCGGGGCTTGGCTCTTTTTGAATCAACTATTTTCTTCCATCCAAGTACAGTGAAAATTGATCGTCGCCATGAGTCCATGTTGTGATGCTCTATTGTGGGTTCTTATGGAGGACGTATTTAAGAATGATTTCTCAAATTTCAGGCGAAATCTTGAGAAGACGAGACATTGTGTTCTTAGTCTCTCCGATGAGATACGGTGTGATCAATCGTACCTGCTCTATATATCAGTTAGGTACGTGTATAGATTGGAGATGTCGTTCGATTCGAGGTAAAGCAAAAGATCTGTGCGCTTTTCGTTTGCGCACCCCTTAATCAAGCTTAATTCTCACGCGAGTGGGAAGGTAATTGATAGGCACTGGCAGAAACAGCTTGAAGGTGGATCTTTTCATCCTTCTCAAATTCAATATGTACTGTTTATCTCGATATAGTGTTCAATTAGAAAGTCTATCACACAATTAATCATTGGAAACGGAAATTACTAGCCACGTATCAGTGTGACGCGATTCTGACCAAGCTCAAAGCCGAACATTTTAGCTGCTCAGCCCAAGAATCTACCTAGAATTCCAGATATCTCGGATAGTCGGGGATCATGATAGATCAGACCTTTTGCAAACAAGGCCTCTCACCAGATCTTGATCTCTCTTGTGGCTGCTAAGTGAGCAATGTTAATGATATTGCGAATCCAGGCAAAGGTGCGAGCCCAACTTTATCCCTTCCCAACGACGATGCGCGTAACTATACATTAATCATAGCATGGGCGGTCCTTGAACTTGCATTCATTATCTAGGCAATATTGCCTTGCTGTCGGAAATTGAGTTCTGAGATACCGTTCCCACAAATTTAACACCAAGGTGCCAAAATCACACACAACTCGTGACGCATCCTGCACATCGCGGACGCAAAACCGTCGTTATAAATACCAGAGGATTTCGCTATAGTACACTGGGAATCACCCATGTTATTCTATTGTTTTGAGTGATCAATGTCATAACTTGATTGTAGGATTGGGGAATGCGCTTGGATAGGACCGATTGATTGATAAAAAGACTCTGGGAAAAAAGATTTGGGGGAGTTCGTGGTTGCTTCTTGCATGTTATGGGAACCGAATACTGGTATACAATCATCAAGACTCAAAACCTGTAACTCGTTCCATACACGCTAAAGCATCACTGATCAACTCTCTCGTCTCTCGATCGCCATCGGCATTTCTCAAGCCTTCTCTCCAGATATCCCACCTCTCCCGACTATAACCGACCCATTCCTTCTTCTCATAAAAGTCTCCACCAGCTCCAGTTCTGTCTGGCATACTTTTCTCATTGACGACATTCAACCGCAGTTTCTCGGCTGCAAATACAAGCCACCAACATGCCACCCGCATTTTCAAATCCTTACTCTTTTCTCCTTTGTTCTCAAATGCATCGCGAAACACCCATAATGCAAAAAGTGAGAAATCAAGGGGTTCAAATTCATTAACTCCAATGCTGACCTCACTTATTGCTAAAAGTTGCGCTAGAAATGCGTTCTTGTTTTCATACGAAGTCTTTTCTCTGTCTGTCAATGTGGAGGAATATGCATCTTCACACGAAGTTAATTTTATGAGGGAATTGAGCAGAAATGAGAAGGTAACAAACGAACCAGTGTTGTAAATCTCACGAGCCTCCCACCCGAAGCCTGGCAACTGTCTCCATAATTCCATGTCATAATACTTCAAAACTTTCGACTGATCCGTGTCTCTGTCTATAACTTCAATCTTCTGAAGGCCAATGATGAATTCGATTAGTCTAGATTGTTGATCAGGTGATGTCCGAGCGACGAGTACAAAAAGTGCACACCAGGTGTCATAAGGGTGATCTCTGAGCAGGTCGGATCCATCCGCGGGGGATGTTTTGCCATTTGCCCAAATTTCTTTCTTTACATTAGCAATTGTGTTCGAAGTGAGAGCCGAATGAGCATCGAGAGCGGAAGACACATTGGAGGATGGGTCTTCTATGAGAGGTAGAAGAAGTACAAATTGAGGAGTTTTTTCAATGTGAGCAATGTTTTTCAACTTGTTCGCCTCATATGCCATCAGTCTTTTTTGCTTGCGGGATCTAGGCATATTTGTATTGAAAATCTATGAATCAATTGCAACGTACAGAATTGAAAAAATGGTACGAGTAGACCTGATCTGATCTCAGGATCCCAAATCCCCGAATGCATTTACGAGACACGTGACATCCATATCCACCGCACCAAGCTATATCAGCTCATAGCTCAAATATCTGCCAGATGTAACAAGCGTTACACTGTGACGGTGGAATGGCAAACATTCGAGTTTGCTTTTGCTATCAATCCTGAAGGAGACGATAAAAGAAGAGAAACACAGAGTTTGTCTTTGGGAATAGAGCATTCTCAGTCCAATCGTCGCTTTTTCGACCGAGTGTTCCAAAAGTCGCGTCAATACATAGAGTCAATGAATTCATGGCAGATGGAAGGCCGAGAAGAAATGTCAAATCTGGCAGAAAACATATTGCGAATCACTGGTCAATGTTAAGTCGAGGTAATTTGCTTCAGAAATAGTGAATTAATCGCATCTTGTAACTAGCAGCTAAAAACTCTTGTCTCATCGTTAACATCAGCAAAAAGATTCTTCGACAATCCAACTTTCAGAAAACATTACAATATTTGCGCCAGCGGCTCAGGTGAAAGAAAGAAAAATTCCAAAGCTCGATTAAAAGTTGTTCAAATAGGATCAATTCTATCTGCAGCCATCTTAGCAAAAATTACCCCTTTCGGGCAGTCGTTATCCCAGAAGAGGTATCATTCACTTACAAAGGGATATTCCACTTCTACTTGTCTGTCATTTCCATTACTATCTAACATTCAATCAAATTTATAATGGTGTTTTCTCAGTCGAAGGAATCTGGCGCATGTATGGCATCCGTCTAAGCTATACTTTTTTCTTGGGAAGACCTTCGTCCGAATGCTTCAAGAACCATCTAATCCCGCTACAAGGAACAGAGAATATCTAGAGCATGGCAAATAGATAAATTCCCAGCTTCTCAACTATATCAACCCTATGCTTGCAATTAATAACTTAATATTTTAATCTGCTAAAAGATTATATCTTGAGTGTCACAATAAGAATCGGTCGTCTTCTCCGCAAACTTTTCCCTTGCCCGGAATCTACATCATCCTCGCCGTCTACACTGCCATCTCCATGTCCATCTCCCCACCAAACCCCAAGTTACGGCCACAGTGCCTGGTTCAAAGGCGCTCGAACCTTAGGCGCTTTCCACGAGAGACGATATCTCCCCGGTCAAATCTTCGGTGCTCCAGACAGTTGTTGGGGTCGATTCATTCCACACTCCGGTGAAGCTCTGAGAACGAAGCACAGTCATCTAGAGAGTGGAATTGTATTCAGACTCTGTAAAGAGCGAGCGTGAAAATTTCGGCTACCGGTACAGTTTTCAGGACTGAGGAAGGAATTTGGAAAGGGGTTGAAGGTTGTGTATCAGAGTGGTAGAAATAAAGTGATGGGAGATGGTGAGATTGAAAGCTGTGTTGGTTGGCTTCTGCTTCGCTTGGCGGAGTAAAGTGCGATGGGGTATAAATGTATCTGGTGAGGGCTGGTTGAGAGACAGGAGAGGAGATGAGAGATAAGACATTAGCAGAGTTTGATCTGGAAACCAAGAAGCTGAACAATCTTGGAGAATTTGACCAAAAATGATTCTAAATGATTGGGTGGCCCTGATGAGTTTCTCCCAACATGATTCTGGGGATTGGGCATAAAGTTCCTATATATTCGGGTATCCAATAGTGGATTGCACTTCGACAATAAACATTCTATTGATATTTGGGCCAATCCTTATTTTGAATGATTGGAAAATGTATGATATTCGATTTTTGAACAATGAAATGACATCTAGCAAGAAAGGATTCCCTGGGGCTTTTGGAATCGTGTTACAGTCCGGATTTTGTAGTCGCGCCCGGGCAAGCACGTTGAACAAGGACATCAATTGAGGGATGTGAAAATATCAAAGTGTCTTTGAAAACATTCATGAGCCTTCTGTTCTTTCAGTCGTGAATGAACTATATGAAGCAGTGTGAACATGTATGTGATTCGCCAAAGACGGCGCTGACCCCTTTCTGTGCCCGGTTAGCTGGCAAAAGGAGAAGCCTCTGATATGAATCATGATCAAATACTTACTGCCATGAAATCAACACAGCATTGAATGTATTTCATACTTATTAGCATATGAGCGATTTTTCATTTATTTGAATGTCAACTGAGGACTTGTGAATATGAATATTTCCGGCCGGCTCCTTAAGCTGATGATCTCTATTTCTAAGCGACTTTTTTGATATAAATACTCTACAACGCCCCGGTTTCAATGTGAAGCTAAACAAGCATTTCATTTACTTCAAGCTACAATAAAATTACTTGGAGGCTATACTACTAGTAAAATATTGATTCAACATGGACAACCAGCACTACTTACCCCCTCCTGTATACACCGCTAACCCTCCAACTTCCAGCCCTCAGACCTTCCAACCTTTCGACGCCACCCACTGGCTCCTCGACACACAACGACAATACACTCAATTCACCCACTACCAACATCTCCTCTGCCAGATATTCCACGCCTCCGATTACTGGTGGAACGAATTTCTCGCATTCTGCGATGTCTTTTTACAACCCAGATTCTCCCACTCAAGCACATCTGTGTGGAATTTCTACAGCACTCCACAAATACGCGGAATGCGATCGGAGTATTTAACAGGAGGCCGGAGTTTCACAAACGAAACTGGAGAAATTTGTAACTGGTTGGCTTTTTGTCTTAGGGAGTTGAGAAATGACGGTGTTGAATGGAACTCAGATGCTACAAGATCTTCATCAGGGACGAGAAGAGAGGAAATTCCAAGTGGCAGACAAAATGAAACTTCGAGTGGAAGAAGAGAGAGAAGGGAGCGAGGACAGGGAGACCGTAATCCGTCGGTAGAATGGTGGTGGAATGGAGATGTCATAGAATTTACCTTGAATTAGGAATACGTCTCAGAAGTGATGATGATAGATTGGTTTCAAATGGACTTTTATCATCATGTTTGTAGCACTTTGGCTGGGGTGGGTAGGATTTAGAGAGGAGTTCGAGGTTTCAGGTAGTGAACCTTTAGACATCAGACATTAATATAATGAACGTTGATATTCAGAAATAATGACTTGTATCGATGAAGTCTTTAAGTGCCCCTTAAAGAAACTTGCACTCTGCACTTATGATGCAGGATTCATCATGCATGTATCAAGGTTCTAGAAACTGATGTAGAAAATTGACTTTCGACAACCTTTTTCTAATGTGTCGGTACTGTGACATTCTCCCAACTCTCCAGTACTGCTTCGGGAGCGACGACCGACTGTACAACCGTTGAACTTACATTCAAACTCTTTCGTTGAAATATATGAAGATCCCTAAGAAATCATCGCGCATTCACAGATCTACCCCTATCAACAAGATCCTAGCAGCTCATTTGCCCCAATGACATACTTTCTATCAGCATTATTGAGGAATGATCCAGCATATGAAGTTTGATTGCTGAATATGGATTTGATCAATCGTGTAACATAATGCCATATCTACACTTCACTTGAGAGATGTGTAGATTCCATCACAATTCAAACTCCAGCAGTCTCAACAATCCATTCCCGAAGAAATCGTAAGAAATTTATTAGTGAGAAGCCGATGCGCATATCGATGTAGATAAAGGGATTCATAAATACCGACCCATACATACAAATCTCGATACGAATTATAGATATCTACAGACCCCGAAAACCTTGATTGCTTAACTGTAGACTTCAAAAATATAGTTCTGGAATAAAACAAGAAAGAACGACTCGTGAATTCGTGAATATGGTACAAACCGCATACTCTATATACATGATAATAACATGACTTCATCATCTGCTGCCCCGACTTTTTCCTATTCCCAATACCCCATTCATCGTTTCCCAAGCTTTTACATACATCTCCACGTTGCGAATTCTTACAAGAATTTAAAATTTAAAAAAAAAACCGTCCACCATACCTATCACTAAACGCCATGCCTTATTTCACCATCACGGTTCGCTTGGAAATACTAGGTTCTCCTTCCCTATTCATCTTCCTTAACCCAATTAACAACTCATTCCATAAGTTCCAAGAATTTAAGTTCCCGTTCCAAAGAAGTACTCATCGAGTAGATTGATCCCCGCCGGTCCACCACCCGCTCCAACACCCCCAACTGTCGTAACATCCCCCAAGTTCTCTCCAAATCCCATATCAAATCCACTTAAATCCCAGTCATCTCCCCCCGATCCTTCTGCACCACCATAACCCCCACCCGCGTAATTCAAAAAGCTTAACCCCGGTGCATTTTGAAAATCAAAATTATAGGCGTTACTGTTGCCACCGTTTCCATTGGCAGGATCATATTGATACATGTCCGGATTTTGGCTTTGGCCTGGAGCTGATGTATATCCTTGCACTGGACTCTGTTGGTTCGGAAAAAGGTTTGGATCGAGGTTCATGTTGTTATCTAGATTACTAAATGGAGGCGAGATGGCAAAGTTTGGTGAATTGATTTGTGAAGAATTGGAATCATTTCTGTATGTTTCAAATTCCGTCTTCACTGTGTTATTCGAGCCCGTGCCATTTCTCGAAGTTGGCCTCTCATTGGCAAAATTCTTCCTGGGTTGATTGTTGACAGAAGTCTCCCTAGAATGCCCTTTCGTACCAATTGGAGGAGGCTGAGGAGTAAAAAGATCATTGAGACCCATGTCGAACTGAGGCTTCGGGCGATTAGACTGTGGCGGTTTTCGAAGCCGAGAACTGTTGGCATTGAAGTAATCATCTGGTTGTGATTGTAGGTGATGTTGTCCACTAGTATGATGGGGACGTCTTGAATGAAGTCCCTGCTGAGCCCCGGAACCGAAACCAGTAGTAGACATGCACATCTGAACCGTAGCTTTGGACATGCGGTCGAAAGCATCTCGACATGCTTCAGCCGGAGGACATTTATCTATGAGATCCCCAAGGACAGACGTCGCGGCCAAAATTGTGAAGTCAACTTCATCCATTGTCTGAAATCGCAATTAGTAACCATCTGAATGAATAAGATGAATATATGCAAACCTACCAGACGACTTCTGACAACCTGAGAGTGCCAAATAGCATACAAGAATGAGATCCCAGCCATGAACAAATGATGCGTAGCCAGAAAAGTATAATTGACAAGTCGCACTCGATGCAACTGTCTATATAATCTCAGAACTCTCTGTCCCGCCTCGGCAACTTTCAAAAAGACCCTTTCCTCATCTTCTCTTAGCTCCACATTGTGTATACTGGGACTTTCAACCTCTTCACTGGTGCTAAATTCTCCTTCAAACATTGGTGGCACACTCAAGCTTTGTCTATACAACATGATAACACATTGCCAATAATTGAGCTCCAGAAAGTCTACTGAGAACTCTACACCCATGTCCCGCTTGGTAGGAGCCGATGTTTTCCATTCCCAGAGGCGTTTGTCGATGTCAATACGCCAAGAACGGAAGCTATCAAATTTCACCAGGAAAGGAGATGGTAGTTGTGTATGCATGAAAGGATTGCGTAAGTTTGCACCACCCGCTCGCGCATGCAATGCTTGTTGATGCTGCAATACCTGTAAAATTTCAGACTGCAGCAGTCTCAGGCGAAAGTAATGATATGCCACATGCTTGTAACTTGATCCGCCAACCCCTGGGTCCTGCAGACCAGCAGGAGTGATATATTTGTCGTCGAGCAATGAAGGGAATTCTGTTGTCACTACTTGATCGGTAATGCCAAAGGGTCTTCCAACGCACGTGGAAACAAGTCGATCAAAGGAGTATGTGCACCACCAGAGTCGCCTCCTATAATCTCGGATATATTCACGACGGCCTCGTTCTCGCATCGTACGCTCCCGATGTAATCTTGCAGTCTCCGCGTCTTCGTTCTTTACTCCAGGCACTTCCAATTTTGGAACTTCAATATCCTTCCCATCTTCATAATGCAGACCTAAATCAACTGCTAAGCGAACCGCCACTCCAATAATGTACCACAAACCAGGAGCCACAGGTCTCAATAACGCGAATCCTGCCAGGAGTAGAACAGCTTGGAGTTCCTCCAAACCGCCACCGAAACCATCAACTCTATCTACCGAAGAACTGAGGCATGCTTCGAGATGAACGATTGCTGAGGCATGATATTCCTCAGGCTGGCTTTGTTTGCCACTGGTTGTGCGCTTTGATTTGTCGCCATTAATTGTCTTTTCCGCCTCTTCTCGAGCGCCCGAATCACCAAGGAAAATTCCAGCGCCAATGGCAAACACAATATTGAGCATATAGAGTTCTCGAGGAGTCCTAATTTTGGTATCCCCAGTCGCATATGCCTCC